GTTCCAGATCTTTTTCTGATTATAGCTGTTTTTTTTTTTCTTTCTTTCTTTTTTTTTTTTTTTTTTTTTTTTGAATTTAGATGCTCTGTCTTTGGAGGAATGAATAACATTATATTTAATCTTTTCTTGCTTCTCCAAAATGAATGTGGAAAAGTTTCAGGGTGATAAATTATTTTTCTCAGGGAGCTGTTCTCATTTTCTTTCAGGCTGTTCTGAGCCTCTAGGGATGAAATCAGGACATATACAAGACTATCAGATCACTGCCTCCAGCATCTTCCGAACTCTCAACATGGACATGTTCACCTGGGAGCCCAGGAAAGCTCGGCTGGACAAGCAAGGCAAAGTCAACGCCTGGACCTCCGGCCACAACGACCAGTCCCAGTGGTTACAGGTAACATTGTCCAAAATCGCTTCACCATCCACTCCACTGCTTTCTCAGAAGACGTTCTGTTGGTTGCATGAGTGTCAGTCATTATCTTCACATGCTAATTTAAATATGCTTTCATCTTTAGCTTAACTCACTTAAGAATACAGGAATTCCTTAGGAAGCTATGTCATGGGCTGTTCTTACTCTGGTGTTGATTTATAGATGCTCCTGTCAGGTTGCTGCAGCAGATTGTGCCAGATCACACCATGCATAGGTCCATTGATCAATTCTGGAGGCATTTGCATTTTAACTCTCCTCTCTTCTAGTGCTTTGTGTTAATATTGGTTGTGAAAGCATCACAGCACGAATACAAAGGGCACTGCGATCCTGTCACTGACCCGCAGGTTGTTTTTATAGAATTATGACTTCTGACATATTAGCTCTTTACTTGTGGTTGCTAAGCAATGGAGCAATTTGATTACCTTCTCATAAGAGAACTTGCTTCTGGAAGGAGAGCATAGGTACTTCAGTCTGTTCATCATTTGCAGTGAAATAAGGTTACAGTCAGTGCTTTTTAAAACAATCTTTTTAAAATGCACTTATTTGTGGAGTACTCTTAAGAATGCACAAATTGGTTAATGTCTTCTGTGACTAAGAACAGTAAGACAATTCCATTCCATAATGAGGGCACTTGAATAAAAAGATAAGTTCTACTTTTGTTAGATTTTAATGCTGTATCCATGAGTTGAAAAACTGGTAATTCATTGTATCCCTGGAAATCATGGGAAGAACAAATGCCACCCTTTCTCAAACTGGAGTTGACAAATCTGAAGTTGTTAAGAGGTCACCTAAAATTTGCAATGGTCTTTTTTCAACCTTGCCTTACTTTGGCCTTACTCTTTTTATTTTAATTCTCACAATTAAAAATACTTACTTTTTCCTTTATTTCCTTTAATGTTCTAATAGGTCATTGGAAAAGTCATAACACATTTTTGCATAGAGAAATACAGTCATGACTTTTCTGACAACTCAATATATGAATCTTTATTGAGCTGGAACTATATTGAGCTCTCATTAGCTGCCATACATGTATAATTATGGATGTTTTACTGTTCTCTGAATTTGCTGAGGGTAAGGAATATGCTTTTTTGTATACCGTTATAGTACTAAGTCTGGTGTCCTTTTATGGTATGTTGCAGGTCCTGTTTAATCATTTACTCAACAAGGATTTGTGATGAACTCATGATATATTATAAAACTTGATAAATGGTGATGGCACATGAGCAAGCAATACACCGCTTGTGCTCTTTAGACATTACCTCTTTCTCAAAACATTCCTTTTATTGGCTTATGTCTTAGTCTATATTGCATTGCTAACAGAAATACCTGAGACTGGGTGACTTATAGAGAATAGAGGTTTATTTGGCTCAAGATTCTGTTGACCAGAAAGTCCAAAGGTATGAGGCTGGTATCAGGCTGACTACAGCACAACATGGCTGACAAAAGCAGAGAGGATAATGGACGTATATATATATAGAGAGAGAGAGAGAGAGAGAGAGAGAGATGGGGACAGGCATCTTCCTTTGAGAAAAACGTACTTTCAGGAGAATAACCCCTTCTCACAAGAGCTAGAAATTCATGAATCTTGAAACAGCATGAAACCAATCATGAGAGCAATGCCGCCATGATCCAGTCACTGCCCTCTGGGTCTCTCTTTCTAAAGATGTCACCATGTCCCAATGCCATTACATTGGGGACCAAAGTCCAAAAGGTGAAACTCTGGATCTGAAATCCTTATCTAACCCATGGCGGCTTGTCTGACACCATCCTTGATATTTTCCTCTACCTCCTAGTTTACACATCCCAGTGGCCTTTCCAAGCCACCCTTCCTCTGCCTGTTACCTGCCTGCCGACATCTCTTCTACTGACTCTACACACTCACATTCACTAACTTAGCAAGTATTGTTTATTTCAGCTACTAAAAATAGGGTGCAGCTACACTAAAATAATTTCACTTCTCACTGTCCCCATTGCCACGTCCATGATCTGGACTACCTGTCTTCCACCAGGATTTCTGCAGAAGTCTCATAACCCGCTTTCCTATTTCTGGTCTTACCTTCTAAAAATCTTTTTCTCAAAGTTGTAAGTTGTATTTTTTTCCCTAAAATTAAATATGGCTCTCTTCCTTCCATGTTTAAAATTCTTCCATTGTTCCATCTCAGCCTCAGAATAAAGTACAAATTTCTTATTATAGACTAAAAGTTTTCACAAAGCTTGGCCCTGTTTCATCTATTCTCAATTTGCTTCAGTTTCTCAAACCAAACTCTTTCTTCCCACTCCTGTAGCATAGTTTTCTTCCTAGAGGAAAAGAATGGATTTCTACCCACAGCAGTATGAGCCTTCTGCTCTTTAAATACTTCAGCTCCTTCCAGGTATGACTTTCTCTAGGAAGTCTTTGCTGTCAACTCCATCCTACCACATGCCTGGTTAAAGTGCTCTCCCATATACTATTCTGTGCTCTGTAATTCTCACGGAGCATTCTCAGACTATATTGGAAATTGTGCATTCACACTAAGGCTGCATCAAGAAGGCTGGGCTTGCTTACCTTCACAACTTATTCAGTACCTAATCAAATACCAGACACCTGGTAGGCATTCAATAAAGAGTTGTTGAATGAATAATTATTTCAGAGAATAATTCTAGTTATGAATTTAGACCCATTCATTGTGTAAGTTTGATCTGAATTTAAGAGGCCAAATGCGGGGAACCAGCAGTTAGCATAATGGCTATGTCGCTGAACTCCCATGTAGTTGACCATGGTTCGTGTCCCGAACCCGGTGGCTTAAAACTCATGCCGGGTGCATGTGCGTGCGTGCCCTAGATCCTGAGAGGAGAACGGAAGAGAAGCGATTGCGGTGTGGCCATCCCCCCTGGGGGGTGATTTCGCGCTTTCTGTCTCTCTGTCTCTCTCTGTCTGTCTGGCGAGCACAGGCGCCCTATAGCAAAAAAAAACAAAAAAAAAAAAAAAAAAAAAAACCCCCAAAAAAAAAAAAAAAAAAAAAAACCCCCAAAAAAAAAAAAAAAAAAAAAAACCCCCAAAAAAAAAAAAAAAAAAAAAAACCCCCAAAAAAAAAAAAAAAAAAAAAAACCCCCAAAAAAAAAAAAAAAAAAAAAAACCCCCAAAAAAAAAAAAAAAAAAAAAAACCCCCAAAAAAAAAAAAAAAAAAAAAAACCTCTCAAAAAAAAAAAAAAAAGAGGCCAAATGCTACATAGTCTCAAATTTATAGATAACATTTGAAAAACAAATCTAAACTCTCATATCAAAGAGCTGACCTTTTCTAATATAGGAGCTAGGTTTTTGTAGTATGTAGATTTCATGAAGTTTTTAAGTTCTTACTTTTAAGAAATTGTGGAAAATCTCTCTTCCATTTGTTAGACTTCACAATGGTAAAGTTAAACTTGGTGTGTGTTCCTATATAGTATTTTTTGAATTTTAAATATCTCAGTCATGTCTCCTACTAACTGGGTATAACTAAATATTACTTGTGAGTCATAATATCATGTGAAATAAGGCAAAATATTTTATACTCCATAAGTAACCTAAACAGACTGGTAGACCCACACAAAGGGGTCACCAGTAACAAATTAATTTATAAAGATAAAAATTTTTTTTTACATGAACCAGGGTGTGATCTTCAGTACAAACCTTTATACATCCCTTTATTTAAGATGACTTTTCCATCGTTTTCTTAAAGTCACTTGAGTCCTGAAATTGATTCATTCTGTTGTTGACATCTTTTCTGTCAATTCAAAGACCAGTTCTTCCAGTGGATGTCTAATTTTTGTTCTGTCAAAACATATTCGGCATCTCCAGGGCAAAGTAAGTTGACATTTTTTTA